GCAATTTCCTCCTATCCCTCTTCTCCCACAGCAGCCACTTACTGTCAGTTCCTTAGGTGTGTTTTTTAAAATATATTATTTTAGAGAGTTATAAACATCAATGAGAGAGAAACATCGATCAGCTGCCTCTTGCACACTCCCCATTGGGGATGTGCCTGCAACCAAGGTGCATGCCCTTGACCAGAATCGAACCTGGGACCCTTGAGTCCGCAGGCTGACGCTCTATCCACTGAGCCAAACCGGTTAGGGCTGCACTTACATTTAAAGATACATTTTGAAAAATGCCAAGCAAAACTGAATTTCAAGTTCAGAGTAACAGAGAGTCGCAGATTTTCAAATGGCAAAAGCTGCAGGAAAGTAGCAAACCAGAATGACCCCTTGATTGCAGTGAACCCTTTGTTCCAGGGAGCCTGGAGCCTTAGGCTTGTGGGCAGGCCCTAATTATGCTCAGAGCTCCTTATCGAGAGGGGCAGGAACAGGCTTCTAGCTAATGAGAATCAGGATGTAGAGGAGCTAAGGGCTGACTAAGTCACACAGTTGTTAGCAGAACTAGGAACAGGGAACAGGTGTTTTGATGTCAGAGCTGCTCTCTTACTGCTAGATGAGTTTTCAGGGTTTGGGATGAGGGAAGTACTTATTTCCCAAACACTTGAATTAGTTTCCCTTGTTTCTTTTTTTTAAAATATATTTTATTGATTTCTTACAGAGAGGAAGGAAGAGAGACAGTCAGAAACATCTATGAGAGAGAAACATCTATCAGCTGCCTCCTGCACACCCCCACCGGGGATGTGCCTGCAACCAAGGTACACGCCCCCGACCGGAATCGAACCTGAGACCCTTCAGTCCGCAGGCTGGCGCTCCATCCACTGAGCCAAATGGGTCACCAGTTAGGGCAGCTTCCCTTGTTTCTTTTCTTCCTTTCCTTCCTCCCTCCCTCCCTCGCTCTCTCTCTCTCTCTCTCTTTTTCTCCTTCCTTCCTTCCTTCCTTCCTTCCTTCCTTCCTTCCTTCCTTCCTTCCCCTTCCTTTCCTTTTTGTTTTAAACTCACCTTAGGATATTTTTTCAATGATTTCTAGAAAGAATGTGAAAGGGCAGAGAGAGAGAGAGAGAGAGAGAGAGAGAAACATGGATGTGAGAGACATATGGACATATGGATTGGTTGCCTCCCACATATGCCCTTAGTAGGGCTGGGGAACCTGCAACCTAGGTATGTGCCCTTGACCGGAATCGAACCAGGACC